CATTCCTGCATGTGTAGAGTTTGACATCCTCAATGGTACTGTTACTTTTATTTTTTATTACTTTTATATTTTTTTTTTATTTAACTGCTTCAAGTTATTTTTCAGCCTCAAAGTCTCTCTCTGTTGTTACCCTCCCCTAGGAGGATGGTTAGGGTATCACAGAGAGTGTCTCAAAGTTTAGTGACTGGCCCAGCCTTAAACTTTGACACTGTCCAATACAAAAGATGCAGTGTTTAAAACTGATTTGAAAAGTAAGTTAGTCCACAGGCATGTAACTCAGAAATATGACATTAATTTCTTATCCTTACTTTCAAATTCTGTATCTTCCCTGCCAACGACGAATGAATTCCCACATGCTGAAAGAGAGATGGTTTAGCACGGATACGTAACTTTGACTTTTCCTTTTCACAGTGTATCTGGAAAAAAAGTACAAGGGAGTTAAGTTTTATAAAGGCAAGTCCATCTACTTTCCGTAAGGCAAATTAGTTGAGGGTATGGGTCCAGGCTTTTACCCATATTTAAATGAGTAATCCTTAGATTAATAGTCACCTTATTTCAAATACATAGTTTCTAGACTAATTTTTAACCATTTCTAGAACTTGCAATTCATTTTTGTGGTGTTTTACGAATTTGAAGACTCAGTTGCCAGTAATTAAGGGATTTCTTCACTGTATTACCATCAATTACACATCAGTGACAAGAACGGACCACAAATCTGAAACAGATTAGGATTTTTAGTTTGTTTGGTTTTTTTAAACTGTTTCTAGCAAATTTGGTTTCAACTTTTGGCCTTGCTATGGAGATCTAATTAAACTATTTTGACCAAAACCTGACCTTTAACATAGATTCTGGTAACACTTCAATATTAGTCATTTTGGCTCTTCCTGCTATTTTTCAGCCTTTTCTTCTCTAGGCCGAACAACCTCAACTCTCTCAGCCCTTTGTTATAGGAGAGGTGTTCCAGCCCTCTGATAACTCTATGGCTCTCCTCAGGGACCTGCTGTAACTGATCCATGTTTTTTTGTGTTGCTTTTTGTTGTTTGGTTGTTGTGGGGGTTTTTTTTTGTACTGAGGATCCCAGAACTAGATGATGGCTTACAGAAGGTAAACACAATTAAGTTTCTGAACCACTCAGAGATCTGATGCCTCTCTCTGCCTCTCTCCTAGCCTCAGTGTGCTGCATCCTCATGAACAGCCCCAGGAGGTCATGCCACTTTTATTTCCATCCAAGGGCAGCGTGAGACTGACTTATCTTGGTAGGTTTTTGCTACCCACAGCAATTTCGACTGCAACTGTAGAGGTGAAACTCAACTAGAAACTTGCTGATACCACTGCTTTGGTTTGGCCAGGGCAGACTTTCAGGAATGCATCTTCATTTTAAGTCTGAATCAGGTCTTAGAAGCTAGAACAGTCATTTAAAAAAATAAAACAAAAAAGTCTTGTCTATTGGATGGAAGACTGAATATTAGACAGACCTGAAATTGGTCATGTTAACATAACAGTATCTTTATTGTTATTTTGTGTTGGCAAGAACCTAAACTAAAGATACTTGAGGCTCACTAAACTCCTGTGAGCCAGCCTAACCCACGGAGTACAATTTTGAAGCCTAATCTTATCTGTATGGAGTGGGAATGGAGACTCCTCAGTGGTATTTTTAAGTGTAAAAATGTGGTTTTTCCACTGTGCACAGGAGTCACCTCTCATGATCATCATCATGGATAGGCTTCATGAAGATATGGGAAGGGCCCTACCCACACTTGCTACAAGCGCGCTGATGGCTAAAAAGGCCGATGTGTAGGATAGGCAAGTCCGGTTGCAAAAGGCACAGCGGAAACTCTCCTTAGGTGGTATTGGCGAGGCACGGTTCTTTCTGCCTTGTCTCTGCTCCTTGAGACTAATTCTACGTGTGTTCTCAAAGAAGGAAGCAGCGTTATGGATGGTGTGATTCCACGTCTCCCGATTGGAGGCCAGAGTGGACCACTGCTGGTAGTCAATATGGCCAAAACTGAGGTGCTGTTTCACAGAGTCCTTGTATCTCCTCTTTGGGGCTCCTTCGTTGCAGCAGCCGGTGGCGAGTTCACCACAGAGCATAACCTCAGGGAGGCGGTGATCCTCCATCCTGGAGATGTGCCCTGCCCAGCGCAGCTGCGTCCTCAGCAGCACGGCCTCAATACTGGTGACCCCTGCCCGTTCAAGGACAGTAACATCAGTCACGTAGTCAGTCCAGTGGATGTTTGGGATTGTACGGAGGCAGCGCTGATGGAAGCGTTCGAGGAGTCGCAGGTTGTGGCAGTGGATGACCCATGATTCAGACCCATATAAAAGAGTAGACAGTACAATGGCTCAGTAGACACTAATCTTTGTATTTCTCTTCAGGTGTTTATTGCACAGGAGTCACCTCTGCTACACATTAAATGTGAAACCTATTAGTGCTGGTCCCCTCAGTCTCCTGTGCTGCACAGCTATCTGTCTCTTCTTCCCTCTTTATCAACACAAAAATAACATGCGCTAACACCTGGAGTGGGGACTGGCCACACAGATCAAATAGAACTCTTAAATCTTAAAAATGAAGTAAGAGCAGAAACTCTGGTCAGTCCTCTGTGGCACAGACGAGGAGTGCAAGTAGCGACCAGCATCAAAGACTGGTCAGAGAAAGAACGTGAAAGGACATAAAGAAATGCTTCATGGATCATTGGGCTCACCTCTAGTGCTAGAAATCGCACCTTTTGCACTTCAACACGACTCTTTCATTTTCAGTGAAAAGTTTAATTTAGTTAGTTAAATTTACTTTTTTTACCCTGCATATTTTTTCCAGGCAAACAGTCTTTTCTTCCCTGACAACTAATAAAATATTTAAAGCAAAACACTGAAGTTCTGCTTCCTGCAAGAATCATAGAATGGCCTAAGCTGGAAGGGACCTCAGAGATCATTTAGTCCAGCCGCCAGGGATGCCACCTCTCGACTAGATCAATAGTCTCAAGAAGAGACTATTATGTGAAATTCAGCTCTGATTGTAAAATTGTATGCTTTACTGACTTCTGTATTAGAAGGTCAGTAGGAGATTACAAGAAGTGATACTCCACATGGGTTTACATATTCAAAATTTTCTTTGTTGCTGCAGGGTTGCCTAGGTGACCAGCTGCAGGCAGATGCGAGCTTGTGCTGTCCATGCTCTGAGCTGACAGAGGTAAAACAGCTCTGGTGTGGAAATCTGATTTTCTGTGAACTGGGCCTCTCCACATGCCCTAAGAGGCTCAAACACTGCAGCAGATCTTTCCCCACAAATTCTGAAGTCAGTCAAGTTTGAGATTTCTGTTCTGTTTTTTGAAGACAAATTATTTTCTCACTGAGACTGTTTTAATGTTTAGGTTGATAAATTCACAGACATACTTACTGCACCCTTTTCTGGATTGCACACCTTAACCCAGAGCAGGTGGTCTATAAGCCAGTCTACGGGCTTGTCTTTATAGAACATCAGAAGAAATTCCACTATGAGTGGCAAGTCTTGTGATTTAAACAGTTTTCCTGAAAGCAAGACAAGAAGTAGCATATTCAGGTATCTTTACTGCTGTACAGAAATCACCATCATTATATTTATTCCAGCCTTACACACACAGATGTAGTTCTGCTATTTAGAGAAAACTTCACACAGTCTCCAGCTTTGGCGAGTTGTTTATCCTCTAGATTGTTGAGATTTTGATAAGATTTCCATTCTACGCCTGGTGATATTCTCACATAGTTAACCAGTCAACTCATAAAGCGTGCAGTTATATCTTAGGTCCAAACACAAATTTGTGCAGGTGTGTCAGGTGAAACAAAGTCTGAATAATTGCTCAAAATGCTAGACATGCAATTTCACTGGCAATACTACACTAAGTATCTTTTAATTAAGAGCTAGATGTGAAAAATGTTGCTTTTAAAATATTATCATTGTTCATTTAGTTCTTTTCCTCTTCATATTAGTGGATTTTGTTGGATTTCTTTGTTTGACCTAACACATAGGTTAGGAGAGACTTACTATTAAAAAAAAAAAGATAAAAACCTTCCCTATGATATAGGATGCATGTTCTGTTCCACCAAGGAAAAGGAATCAGATTTATTTTTATTCTTTTATATATAGAATGTTCAGGGTCTGTTCTTGAGAAGACTATATGTTACAGCTGCACATAGTGCCCTGAGGTAGAACAATTTGCTCTTAGGGGAACCCAACTACTAGATCCTATACTGAGGAGACTTTGCAGAAAAAAAGACAGTTTTAAAGAGCACAATAAGACTTTCAGTGGGAACTTTCCTGAAGAACCAACGGAGTTTTGACATGAGAGTCCTTCCATACCTTGAAATGTAATTCTGAGTGATACCTACCTGAATTACACAGCTCCAAAGACAATTGACCTTGCTGAGTTCTTAATACTCACCAATAAATCCAAGCTGGGAGAACTCAAGAATCATCCACTCCTGGGACTGTTCAGCAGCAAAGCTTTTTATACTTTGAATATAATCAGGTTTGGCTATAATATCATCTTCCAGCTGGGGAAAGAAAAAAAGATCAAGCAAATGGTGGTTTTATTGCTTGCAGAGGAGGTGGTGATGTTGCCTCACAGAAGCGCTAATTGCATTGTGTTTGCTGTACAGTGTGTATCGAAGCTGTTCCAAACTACAATGGATTGCTATTTAACTGCTACATATAACTCTGTTTCAGTATCATTCATTAAATATTTACTTACAGGAGTGCCTATAAAACCTTGAGAGCTTCTCAGTTTTTTCAGAAAGGAAGATTCCCTACCTTAAAAAGATCTCATTTAAAAGAAAAAATGAAGCAAAAGATAGAGGCTAAGCACAAAGACAGAAAGCAATTTGCACTGAGGTTGTATACACCTTGATAAGCAGCAGGAGCAAAGAGTTTGAGAAAAGCAGCATCTAAAGCAGACGATTAAAAACTCTGTAGAGTAGCTGGGGCACACCCTGCCATACCAAAAAGGTGACTGAGAAGAACTGTGGGTGATTACTGAGATGCTAACAGAAAGCAAGTTGTTTCAGGGAATCCTAGTCATGAAAGGAGGAACGTGCTGTGAGGCACACTGAAGGACAGGAACACGTAGAGCTTTTGAGGTGTTATAAAGGCTGGCACTGATTACAGCAGCAGAGACAGCAAAAAGGTACCCAGAAAAGGAGATGGATATCCATCACGGAAATGGCAAGGGCCTCGGCTGCCTTTTTGCATAGCTTTCAGAGAAGAACGGGGGATCTGAAAAGCCAGAAGCTGCTCCAGGTACTAAAGCTGAGGATAATGAGTCCAAAAGAGGAGTTGAGAGGCAATGACACAAAGCAAAGAAATGAATTCCAGAAATAATTAAGGAGGGAGTAATTCAGGTTTGAATTCAATATGGGCGCAAAAAAAAACCCACAGGAAGAGGTGGCTAAGCCTTCAGGAAAATGTTGGGGTACAGTGTAATAATACAGTTGATTTGCTCTGACTGGTGTACTTCACTGGCCCTGCTGCTTGTCTGGTGGTGCTGGAATTTGGTTCAGAAAGTTTAATAGGTAGAAAATTAGTACTATGAGGAAACAACAGCAACAACAAAAAAGGACTATCTCCTGCTGCTTCTGCCTCTTCAACTGCCTCGGCGCAGAGTCAGCAGCAAGAGCATGAAAGAGCTGGCTTTTAGCTGAATTTGGCCATTACTACAAGTGTAGGGCTGGCAGGGGAGAAATGCATTGTCAAGAGTGAAGTCAGGAGGAAGTAGAATGATGTTTGAAAAATCAAGATATCTGTTCTGACCCTGTCAGCTTTTGCTGATGGTAAGATAACAGAAAATAGATAGATGGAGATGAACTGATCAAGATTAACGCTTATTAACAGATTCTGAGATCTGGGGATTGAGTTGAGATGACAGTTATTCAGATGAGAACAACAGGACAAAAAAACCCCAAACAATTAACTTAAAAGAAATCTTGCATAAAATGACATGAGCTAAGAGGATTATCCAGCAGCTAGATGCTACGGGAGAAGAGCAAGGAATCCAAGAGAGTTTCAGAGAATCCTCGCAGAGAAATTGAGGGGCACCTGAGAAAGGATTAAAGGGTAGAGAAAGGAGTATCTCAAAAACCTAGTGAGACCACCGTATTGGGAAACACGAAAAGTAAATGTACAAAAGTAGCGAAGATTAAAAATATAGAGCCTGTGATGCAAAGTGAGTCTGAATGTGGTTATGAACTGAAAGCAGTTTTGCATAGTGAAAGAGTCTTTTCTGAAGCTGATGGTTAAAAGTGAGTATTGGACTGTGTAGTTTACTATGCTGTGTAGCACAGGCCATTAAAAGTTGTTTATTTAACCCTGTACTAAGCTCTGTAATCTGTGTGCAGCTAAAGCACATCTTCTTGAAGAGCATCTGCCATTGCTTAGAGGTTTCAATATCTGTTCTTTTTCAGTAAATTATACTGTATGTTATTATCCTGAATGTTTAGTACATGGTACCTAAAATCTAATGTGAATTTTTTTTCTGGCTTCAGCTTACAGCCACTTGTTTTTCATATGCTCTTAGTTTCCAAAGGAGATTGTACAGTGGCTGTTCACAGCTGGGTCAGGAAGACAAAGAAAGGAACTGTGTAGTCTGTTTGCCCCCTTGTCACGAGAAGGCCAGCAGAGCACACGATCACAGCTAGTCTCCCTTCTCTCATCAGTACTTTGGGATGAAAAAAGTAGGCGCACAATAGCAAAGTTACGTACATTTCCTAAATGTACGTCAATAAATGGGTTTCAATTTGTTTTTCTTACGTGGGTTATCTGCCTAAGAGAAGCAAAAATCAAGAAGCAACAAGCAAGTGGTAGCCTGTAACAGGAGCGTAGGCATCAGACAAGAAACTGTCTTCCTTTATCAATTATGTTAGGCTGTTTTTATGTTTTGAGTCACCACTCAATGAAAATATTAAGACTGTTAAGCTGAAAAATCTTATTCTTTCATTTTCCACAGAAAACAAACTTCTAGTAGTTGATTCCATAAAGATCTTTAATTTTGAGGTGGATTTTTTTAGTATAAGCACAAAGAAAATTTCAACTAAAAGTGCACTTTCAATGTTACTCATTTTAGGAGCTCTGGCAAATAACAGGCTTGATGTAGAGTCTACTAGAAGTGGGGAAATAAAAAAAAATAAATACAAGGACTCCTAATGACTTTACTGAGTTATTGTTTAGGCCTTAAAACTATTAGAGAAACACACTAGAGAAATTATAATAATGCTGTACGGCTAAGTGCTGCTGGCAATATACATTACCAGTATACACAAGGAAAAAAATCAAGATGTAAAGTCATAGGTTAAAAATAAAAATAAAAAATTCTAGGGTTATTAAGCTCAACAAATGCTTATCTTCTTTCAAAATTCAGATGTTAATATCAGTCACCCAAATTATACTATTCCTGAAAAGAACCCAGCATTTAAAATCTGAGCTAGTTCAAGTTTTTAAGTTTACTGAAGTAAATCTCTGTCCCAGGCTGGGGAGAGGTATTTTTCAAGTTTGTTGCTTTCCATTAACACAAAGCTTCCAAATGGAGGCAGAACATAACTAAATTTGTGGCAGCATATATTCCTTCTTTTCACCTGTACTGTACAGAGTATTTTCTGGGCAGACCAGCATCTGTGCTACAGAAACAGCTGCAGACTAGACACATAAATGAAGCAGACATAGAAGGTATTGGTATGAGGAAAGCATAGTTTCTTTTTAAGAAACTTGTAAATGCACCCACAGCTAACACCAGACAGTCCTAACCCAGGGTTTGCTCTGAATAACACAGTACTGTCATTATATATAATGTCCCAGAAAAGAAAACGCATATTCTTATATTTCCTTAAAAATGCAAATATGTAATGAAGTATTTTCTCCAAGCATTCAAGTTTGCATGGAACTTTATAATAGTAAGGGACATTCAGTGTCTGGCAGCACACTTTACGTTTCCCTTCTCTATGTTTCCCATGCCTTAATGCTCTAGTGCACTTAGTATTGGGTAGTGTTCTCAAAAATACACAAAAGTCAGAGGGAAAATACTTCATTTTCCAGTAAACCTCAACTGTTCAATAGACAACATTTTTTATTTGTCTGTTTGTCTTCTGAGCACCTATGTCCAATCTGAGATTGGAGCACAGACTCTTGAGCAGCCCAGCTCAAACGTGCTTGTGTTAAACGCTGTCAGGAATTGCAGAAGATGCCTGCGCTTCCGTTCTTCTGCTTCTGGGAATCTTGTGATGTACTTATGTGATACGAAGTCTGAAGCCCAGGTGAGCAGATGACCCAGGAAAACTAAGAACTTTACAAAAACTCAGAAGAGCATTTTGCTAAAACCGTTGACATTCATGAGCTATGTGAAATTTTATGGACCTGTTCCATTATCGAACAGTCATGGCTCATTCGGGTATCTCTGGTGGTGATTATCATCATGACAAAGGGTGCGGTAGCACACATCTAGAATAATGGCTAAACTTAAGCCTGAATGGATGGGGAATCTTCTTAAAGCCTAACACTCCAAATCTTCTGCAGAAATTAGGATCTGTATCAGTTTGCAGTTTAACCTTGTCTCCAGTATCGCTATAGTAGAACGCTTCTGGATCTCCTAGGGGTTTTTGGTTCATCGTGATCTAGGCTGTAGCCTGGACCTACCACTGCTGTTCTGTCTGGCTGCACCAACTGAAAACACATTAAACTCCAACTTCCTTAACCTAATCAAATAAGGGCTTCACGCTTCAGTTATCTTGTTGTTCAACCTCACAAATGACAAGAAAGAACAGATGGATTTCATCAAACAGTACCTGGCTGCTAAGGTCTATATAGACTCAGAAATACGTGGCTGCTTGTAAAGAGCACAGGCAAAATGCAGAGAAAATGACAATAGATTGCTGTTTTTACTGAGGAGTTTGAAACAAATCAAAATGCCAAAGCTAATAACCAGTTACTTAGTGATAATATGAACATACCTGTAAGTAAAATCTTCCCTTAGGTTGGGCATATAGCATTAGAAAGCTAAAATCCAGATTCTGTTTAGTTCTCCACCTAAACATAAGCAGCAAAATCTGATAAGCTTTTTGGGCAGGTTGCAAGAGTTAATTCTATAATAAAAGCATGTCTAACATTCGACAGTTTTCACTTTTTTTCTTTACAGTAAAATTGTAAGCTTCAGTATTCTAATTCATTGATAAGTGAATAAAAATTCCTCTGAGTCTAAACGTTTGTGAATAATTTGCCTTTCCTATTACAGTTAACATTAACCAAGCAAAAAATTTTTCTATCAGTGCAGCCTGAAACAAGATGTCTAACAACTATATTCATGTCAAATGACTTTAGGATTCTAATCATATTAAGAGCAGTAGAGATGAACACACAATGATGACTTGAAGATAAAAAAATCAAGTGCTTTTACTGCTGAACAGCACAGAAGCAGGTTGATAAACTTCATTTTCAGGTTTAAACGTAACCACAGATTTTTCTCTACAAAGTACAATCTCTCATCTTCTCAATCCATGCTAAAAGACTAGGGAGTAATTTATCAGTATTCAAACAAGATGAAAGTGTATTTGACTCAAATATAGTAATTTCTGAAACTTATGTGTAGTATGTAAACATGTTTATGCTCTTAAAAATAAAAGGTTTATCTATAAGCCCCAACACACATGCATAAATATACTTGCTGATTTCCTCCAGCCTGAACTCTCAGTACTGCAACACTCTTGCTGCAGATGCAAAAAAAATTGCTTTCCTTCAATAACTCAATTTTTTTTAGGTTATTACCTCTGTCTCAACGAATTTGGGGCACATAAGCAAATGGAATTGCGTTAAGATGTATCACTAACAATAGTATAAAAAGTCCATTATCACCAAAAGTTAGATCATTCATTAAACCCACAGTAGCTGTTACTAATGACCTGTGGGGCCACATGGGGGTTCCTTTGTGTGTTCATAGAGCCTCTCCCTCATCTGATACTTAGAAGATTTTCCTTTTTTTTTTTTGTTTATGACAAGATCATCATAATTATCTATCTGGTGTAAAACCTATGAAATGCCTAGAGTCAAGAGCCAAAGGAGAAGCCTTGGCACCCATCCTGAAGCTGATATGCCACTCAACTTTTCTCAAGATCCTCTTGTGTGATTTTTTTTCTTTTTTTAAAAGTACACTTGAACTCCGCTGGCTATGAAATACAAAAACATGACCAGCTCAAACAATTTTGACTGTTGCATAATTTGTATTTTATACTCTTAGCAAAAATTCTTATGTTTTATACAGCTATCTTACCTTACTCTGTCCTGTGAATCCCCAAGTGTTTCCTTCAGGTTGGAAAGATCTGGATAATAAGAAGCAGGAGGAGAAATAACTTCTAGGACTCCAGACTGGATTTCTCTGGGGAAGCTGTGAAAAGAAGGTTAATGAGACCCTTCCTCAAAAAGTCTTTTGAGGGCAACCGCAGACATCAGCTTCCCGCAGTCAGGTGTGCTCCTCCACATGTGGAATTCACAACACTAGCAAGACATTAAGTCACATATACTGTAAGTTAGGAACCAAGGAGGTGTCTTTGACAACCATCAGAACAGGTAGGACAGTAACTCATTAAAGTCTCAGGAAACATGTAAGCGTCTCTCAGAAATCCTGCCCCTCCTGCATCTATAATTGCTTACTCATAATCCTGAGTTGGTTGTCAAAATGTAGCAGTAATTTACAACCACATCCACTATCTAGATAATAGGTACACACAACTGCTCCTCCTTGCATGAGTGCTCCTACCTCCATTACACTTGTTCTAACTTTAATGCTACATTCTAGTCAAAATGATGCTGTCCTGGAGCATGGGTTTGGAATGGGAAGTCTGGGTAAAGTCTCTGCTCCAAGGATTAAAGGTTCCATTTAAGAAGTCATTGAAAAAAATGTGTAATCAACTGTGGGAGCCAGTCCTGTCTGTCAAATTTCACCCTTTCTCTAGAATATGTTTAAAAAAAAAATTCTTAATTTTTGTAATAGTTAAATGAGCACTGAAATAAGGGGGTTTCAAAACTGAGTTCCTCATTTCTTATGATTAATGGAAAACAAAAAAAAGAACATCAAAAATGAAGTGCATCATAGTATGCTTATGAAAAAGAATCTTGGTCTTCCTATGTGTTAATGCCAAAGCATCTACTCTGCAGTAATTTTTTTGAAACCCTTAAAGAAATCATAAAAAAGGTACTTAGGGGTACAGTTTAGTTAAGAACTTGTTAGCCTTAAGTTAATGATTAGCCTTGATGATCTTAAAGGTCTTTTCCAATGTGGGCAATTGTGTGATTCTCTGTTTAAGTTGCTGTGTATATTGTACCTTGGTGTGCTCAACAGCACGGAAGAGGACTGCCTTGTCCTGGCCATGGTAGGACGTTATTGCCATTGCTCCGCTGGCAGGCTTAGCTTGGGGAGCCTTCTGGAGAAACCTGCACCCTAAATACAGTCGGAGCAACCTTTGAGTGGAGCAGGATGTGTGGCAAAGCCTTACAAGTGAAGGAAAAGGGAAACTTCTAGAAGGATCTTGTTTAATTTTTCTTTTTTGAAGGGGAGGCGGGGGTTGCTCTCTTCTCCCATGTCACAAGCGATAGGACAAGAGGAGAGGTTTAGATTGGAAATTAGGCAAAATTTCTTCACAGAAAGGGTTGTCAAGCATTGGAACAGGTTGCCCTGGGAAGTGGTTGAATCACCATCCCTGGAGGTATTAAATACACGTACATAAAGATCTGTCCATGTGGTGCTCGGTTTCGTGGTGGACTTGGCAGCGTTAGGTTTACGGTTGGACCCCATGAACTTTAATGGTCTCTTCCAACCTCTAATTCTAATAAAACATGGATATAAAGATTGAGAGCTCTCTTGTAGTGATTTTAAAGAGGAAGACAGGGCAAAGGCTGTTTTGCTTCAAATACTGGTCAAAGTGGGGTTCTGTCAGAGTAATCAATTCCTGAATAAGCTTGCTCACCAGAAAAACCAGCAATGCCAGTACTGCAGCACAACGTAGATTTCATCTCTTGTTTTTTTCTGTCACCTGCCCTTCAGGGCTTTTAGCCCTATCTCTTTTGTTACTGTTAGTTATATTATACAATTTTTTACAAAGTCGCTTTTTAAAGACAAAACAAATTTACCAGTGAGTGTATTTTTTGCGCAAAGGACAATGAAATATGAAGAATAAATTTTAAGTCTGAATAATGGCATAGTCTATTTACCTGCAAGTAACTATCACTAGATAATTCCCTCCTGTAGGTTTTTTCCATTTTGGAATGAAAAAAAAATCATTTACTCATAATCACATTTTCACCTTGAGCACTGCTTACTTTCCCAAACATGGAACTGTTCAAATCTCTGAACTGTTTTCTTTTTCACAACCAAGGCCAATACACTTGAAGAAGGTAAGGCTCAGGCATGTCAAGGTATTGGCAAAATAACTTCGATCAAAATACATTTTAATTTAGTAGTTGATGCTCTTGAGCTTCTCTAAGGTTTTTAATACACAAACACTGCTGTAAATGTCAAAGAACAAAAACAAAGTAAAACTGCAGTGGGAAGCAAGCCTTCATCTGATAGCTCTTTAAGTTATTTTGGCATGGCAAAGAATACTCATCTCATGTTACCCTCTTATAATACCATTTAAGGTTGTTAATATAATCCCATTGCTGTCTAAAGCTCATTGTCTTAATGAAAAGGAGAGAAACAAGGAAACTAAGACACTTAAAAAACATGACAGGTATCAGGATACGTTGCCAGGCTGTGAAATCAATAGATGGAGCCTCAGGTGCCTTGAACTGCATCATTAATTTCAGGGGGGAAAAGACTTAGGTTCAAGTAAATATTTAGCAGTCTTAAGTGGAGACCTTGCCTCATTACCTAAAGCATACTGATGAAATAAGAAAAACTGATATACCTCCTTCTGTTCTGAATTGTACAGTGTGTTATGATGCACATACTAAGAGTGCACCTTTGCCTCCTTTTTTAGCAGTTCTGTTTCAGTATAGCAGAGTTGTGGTTTACTGCTGAAATGCTCTAATTCTTTCCGTAAAAGTTAAAAATGTGTTTGCAAGCTGTTGGGTGTTACAGGACGTACCTGGTTTTAATGCTTTCTGCAACACTGTTAACATACACTGCATTCACCTAAAGAAAAGAAGGGGAGGTTCATTTCAGGTCATGCATTTTTGTATTAAGCAACATTCTGTAGGGAATATATATATATATATTTACTAGCACTTCACTTTTATTCTCTAATTCTTTTCACTTCAAACAAAAGCAATATGTTATAACATTGTTGCTGCTAGAAGACAGTATGGTGTTTTTGAGACAACTGAACTTTAAATGTAGTTGAAAGTAGGGCTGAGCTATCTCCAGCTACAGTTTCTCTATTTTGTTTTTTCACTCCTCCTGCAGGAGGCTAAGCCATCTGCTGCATAAAATTCTGTTCTGCAGCTTTCAGTTACGACAGAAAAGCACAGTGATATATAATTGTCAGTAAAAAGGGACTTTTCAGGTTAACCATCCAAAAATCACAGAAGAAGCCTGAGAAAAGTCACCAAAGCAAAATTTTCTCAAGTGATACTTAACATTTTTATTTTGCGTTTCTTCCTAATATAACAAACTTACAGCTCTTAGTCTGGAAATTTTGAGGACATACTTATTCTTTGCTGCTGTTTCATAAAAGTAACAGTTGTAGTGTACAAAGCACACCTGTTAACTATATTGAAAAGTGCTAAGTTATATTGGATGTGATTTCCAAAGCAATACAATACCTTAGTAGTTCAGATCTTCTCAAAAATGCACAAATAATCAACTAGCCATAGATTAAATTCATAATAAGTAAAAACAATGTGAAGTAGTAAGTAAAGAACTGTGATAAGAAAAAAACAACCCAATTTTGCAACTCACTTTCAGTCAATAAGTTACTCTGACTTAATCCATGATGTAAACATTTAACCTGATCTTCTGAAACACTCTGGGAAAAAGCGAGGCGTGGATTCATGATCACTGAACACACCTGCCCTCCTCTTATAATCAAATGTTCTTCTTGCGTCTCCTATCAGCACAATCAACCTGCTGTAATTTACTGCATGGCTGAAAAAATGGAAGCTGCAAGAATGTGACTTCAGGGACTAGAAAAAAGGGGAGAGACTAATTCTTACACAGGCAGTTTAATACTAAAAAGCTTGAAACAGGCTATTACTACAACCAAAGCTACCGGTTGTTACAAGTGCCTCATTAGGACTGCCCTCAGTGGGAAACTGTGCTGTTCAAGAGGTTAACCCTTAAAACCTCAAAGAACTCTCTGAAGCCCTGTAATAGAAGGTTTATCTAAACGGCACAAGGCAAAGCTCAGCACTGCCAGGGCTCTTCATTGCGAACCATAAAGTAATTTCAGCTCCTAAAACTTATGCTGAAGGGGAAGTAAGGTCAGTAAAACTGAGCCTATTCGCTTATCGTGATCCACACAGAAGAGTGGAGGTCAAGACCTAACTTAATCAAGTGAACTACGATCTTTTTTACAGCTGCTCTAAGTGATGGCTTACTAAAAAAGCAAACTCTAACTCTTAATGAATACATGTATGAAATTTCATGTTGTTTATGGAAAGACAAAGAAACACAAAGAATAAATATCAAGTCTGAACAACTGCACAGCCTATTTACCTGCAAATAACTATCACTAAGTAATTCCCTTCTGTAGGTTTTTACTGTTTTGGAATGAGAAAAAAAAATCATTTACTCATAATAATGTTTTACCTTGAGCACTGTTTACTCTCCCAAACATGGAACTGTTGAAGTTGCTGAACTGTTTTCCTTTCCACAACAAATGCCAATACACATGAAGAAGGCTAGGCTCTGGCATGTCAAGGTATTTGCAAGACAAATTATATCAAACCAGCAGATAAATAGTCTGAACTTTTTTTAGACTCTGTAAGTTGAATTTTATCAGGAATTACATTTCAATTTTCAAGTAGAGTACTTTTAGAGATAAAAAATGAGTTCATATTATTTTATTTGAAAACCTGACTGTAACAATTATGCTTGTAAATGTCATATGACTTTTTATCCTTTGGTTATCTGAGCTACAGGGTTTTTTTCCACGTATGTACAGTGAGGCATTAACTGCTCACTATCTCCTCTGGTCCTGAAGAAATCCCTCTCAAAGCTCTCGCTACCAGTATTTTGCAGCCTCTCCTACACTATTACACTAAGACATGAATCCCCATACTGTCTTTCTATCAGCATACTACATTTTTCCATGTAAATTTACCTCTGCTACAAGGACGATTATTAAGCAGTCATTCTTCTGCTCTTCAGAAAGTTCATACAGGAGGGAGTGCAGTGTATTAAGGAGATAATGTTGTTTTTCCCTTTTCACAGTAGGAATTCCCATCACCAGTGAGACTGCAGAAAAAAAAAAAACTCCATAAGCTATGTAAATTTAAGTCAGGTAAGGGGAAACTGAAACTACATTTTAATTTTGATTTGATGTGTCCATGAGACTTGGTGACCGTTAGTACTCCTACAGCACTGTGACAGCATTTGCTTTACTACTTTGGAGACACCTCCAGTTAAGTTTAGGTTGGAGACATAAGCACCAGGTTTACATTGTGTAAACTGTCAACATTTAAGAACTTGAAGGTACCTCTGGCAAACACACAGGTGTCTGCTATTATTATGTTTCTAAAGTGGGTATTGCAAAATAAGTGCTAGCTCTTGGTACAGAGTTGTAGATGTGGGTAGTAAATCAAACCAACACTGCTTTACTGAGCAAGTTGTCTGTGTATCTCAGAAAGGAATCCACCTCAAAAATCTTCCTGAGCAGCTTAAGATAAATAATGGCTTTGACATAATAATAAGAAGAAAGGAACTTAGACATTATCATTAAAAAGAAAGGAACTGAAATGGTCTCTGGCAAAGACTACACTAGTAGCAATCCCAGGCCGTCTTACATCATTAGATGGTAAGCAGGACCTCTTTCATTGGTGAGGCCTTTCATGAAGTTAGTGACCTAATACAGCTCAGTAAAACTTGTAGAATTCTTAGTCCTTGCAGAAGGTTCTTATTCACCAAAACTTTGTGAGTCTGGTAAGGAAGCAGCAGATTTTGAGAAAAGGAGTATGTGCAGTTAGTGACTCACTCCAGACTTCATCATTTGTGCCAGCCTCAGCTCAAAAATGCCCAAGTTCCAACATTCCTTCCCAGCACATAATCTGCTAAACTCTGGGGTTTTGTTTGGTTTTACACACTCAAGGTCAACCTGTACTTGTTCAAGCGTGGTCTTGCTATTGTGATTTTCATGTACAAATAAATTTAAATTAAACATGGAACATTCTTTTATTACTTATTACTTCTTTTTTTTTTTTTTTCCTTGCTTGTGACTATATCCGGTTTGCTGAGGGTCTTTAGCTGCCAACCTCTGGTCTTTTGCAGACTGGCACTGATAGGAGACTGTAGGAAGTCATCCATTGTCGCAGGCATGACCAAGTTGGTTTTTTGTTAAATCAAAAGTGCTGCCCGTGTTTCTTTATCTAAAATCACCATAGAGGAAAGTAACAATTTGAACAGAACACAAAACACAGGAAAATAGTTGCCTAGTTCCTTGTTTGCTGTTTGGAATGTTCTTTTTACCTGTCACAAGACAGTTAGAAGAAGATACAACTTTATAATTTGTACTATAGTTCACTGGAATTCATTATCATTTGAGCAGGTGTCAGCTGATTTCTCACATGGCTGAAAAAACGCTGAAGGTTTATTCAAATCCTTTAAATGATCACATCACCTTTTCATTTGCTTCTAACTTGACCAAACTGGGTGCATTATAATTTCTCCTTAGCTTTCTCATTCACTATAATTCTGTGGGAAAAAATGTCTCTGCTAATGCATCATAGCCATTTGAATATGACTTAACCTCAAAATAATATTTTTCGATTTTGCCTATTTTTTTGTTGATACTGGAAAAGATTTATCATAATACTTTGGGGTAAGGACTTGAAATTTGGATGGGTGTGCTAAAAGTGCTTTTGCCATGACCATTAAAATTTATTCTGCTTGGCAACATTATACATTTTAGGGAGAAAACCCACTCTGAACTTGGAGTATGCTTTATTGCTAGAACTTAATATAAAATGCAAACATACAGAAAAATAAGCCAAACTTTATGTCCTACCTCCAGTTCTCTGTTGCCCCAAAATAACATTTGGGAAAAGGGCATCTTCATATTCTCGAAGGTGAGGTAGATAATAGTCCATGTTTGTAAAATGCACGGGGAGTTTTCTGGTGAGGTTTAACATTTTCCACTTCATGTAATCTTAAAGAAACAACAAACCCACATATACACATAAATGAAAAAGCCAGCAGTGAAGCCTACGGTTTCAACTATTTGCTTCAACTGAATATGAGCAGATTGCCACACACAAGGTTATTCAATAAGAAATATTCCTCAGAAGTTATTATATGTCATCTACATTTACCCTCCTGTGGGAATAAATTGAGAACTGTGCAGGACAACCTTTGCAGTCAGGTGATGGCACAGAGCTCCAGGCCTGAACATTCTGGGAACTCCACTTGCACTTCCCTGTGCCTGAACAGTTGCAGGACTGAGCCATCTTAAAACACAGTAGGTGGTTATTTTAAAAGCAGGAGGGGAAAAAAAAAATAATTCTTTTTTGCACAATTTGCAAGCAACTTTTTACATGAAAAGATACTCAGATTCTGATTAATAACTTAATTACTTAATCTTAAGTGCTTTCCCCAAAATATAACACGTGGTGGGTTTCAGGGCTCAAACAGAAGTTCTAAGGTTATAAAAAGACTTATGACAAAAGTAACAACCAGATCCAGGCCTGTAGAAACTATCTGAGAAAAAAGTGACTGTAGTAGTTAAGAAATTAAGTAGGGAACATTTATTTTTTCTTTACCACTTTAAAATAAAGTTTCAAATAATTCAAATATTTATTTGTGTTGAAATAACACAAGTGTAGTCTTATTAAAATAACCCTATTTTTAAAAAAAATAGCCATATAAAAATAAGGTACCATGATTTACTGATTTATCTTCCTTGATATAAAAACTTCTGAATGTTCCAGTAGTAGTAAAAATTATTTAAAATAAATTTCATAATAACTTCAACAAGTTAATTCTAAAACCATCATAAAATTAATTATGAGCTTGCAAAAAGAATGTGATTAATGTAAAGTACCTATAGGAGCAGAGATGTGTGACATTTTAATTTTTAAAAGGTATTTGAGTGGATAAAAATGAGGACTATGTTTATGAAGAATAGCAAATAGTCTTTCTAGTATTTAAGAAAACTGCTTGGAAACAAAGCTGAAGATCACTCCAGACTTTATTTACCAGTTGTCTACAGGCATAAACCTTGCTTTCCTGATACAGGCAGCACACAGCTTTCATACTAGAATGTTGTCTGTCATTCTCTTTTGCTGATTTTTTCTATACCCTACTAGCTACCTACAACATGTATATCTTTTTGCTCTGAAAGAAGAATCAAGTTGCCCAGAATTTATCTAGGGCAATTCATACTTCAGTGGGTGCCTCCTCCAGACACTATCGGCTGTGCGAAGTGGCCGGTGCTTGCCGTTATCAGAATGTCACCTCGGATAGTTTTAGCCAACCGAACCCTTTAACAGCCTTCCAAGCTACAGAAAACTTCAAAACTCACAGTTTCACACTCAGCAAAGCAACAGAAGGTTTATTGCCTTAGATGGAAAGTTATGTTTCCTAAGAAACACATCTAAGGTAATTCCTCAAGTTTACCATCCTTCAAAGTTACTTTAAACAAGTCTTATAAATTACCATCATCAGCTTTATTCACTCAGCTTGGATCAAAGAAAGCAGAGGCTTACTGAATGGGCAATATTTGTTTGAAGTTTTTCAACTTCCAAAAGATGCTCCCTTTAAAAACTAGGATCTGACAGAGATTCCCTACTCTACAGAGAACGGTTCCAAAAAAAAAAACTCCACACCAAACATATATAATACATCCAGACATTTATGTATGAAAGAGAGACCTATAACTCCTCCCACTCTGCTTTGCCGTTAAATGCACTGGAATTTTGCTTCACAGAAACTTTAAACCAAAACAATATACAATACCTTCATAACTTTTCAAGGATTTTGCATTTTTATGTGGCAGCAGTATCTATCAAGGGTCAGGCAAGGGCCTTTAGTTTTACTGTGTGCAAAAACCATTTTTGCTGTAAATAAAACTCGTCTACAACGGGAAGCAGAAGAGAAAGTAAAAAATGAAACTATTCGGTGATTTAAATAAATTCTGATTTGAATCCTGTGAATTGACAGCTTTAACGTTTTCCAATATTCAGCTGGCTCCCACAGCAATGAAGAGCAGAGGGAAGGGGGCTGGCACTCTCCTCTACTTCTGTTATAGGCATTAGGCAATAACTCTTTGTTCACAGGACATGGGGCTACTGGCGCCTGACAAGAGGGTCTCTATTTTAAAATATGTAAGACCACAACCCTGCCAACACTTAGGCATGTGTTTACACGCATCTGAACAGTCCCACTGAATTAATGTTGCACAAACAGACAAAAAGAAGCAGGGAAGAACCAGGTAAGAATCAAAGCTGCCTGTGCAAAGCAGGGACGCACTTTGTTCCTTCTTCCCCTGTAACAGCCCTGGTTAACTCCCTATTTTAATCTGATATCAGCCTGCTGTACTGAATGCAAATATGGATTTTTAAAAAGTAGTTTTCAGTAGCATTCAGACTCATTTTGAGGTTGGGCTGTGTTGGGGAATGCCTTTAGCGTAGAGATGCCTCTTCCAGTTTTCCTTCTCTCCCCAGGTAAGTGGCTCGTCCAATCTGAACAGGGAGGAAGGCCAGTCCTGCACTCCTACATCATCTCTTTTAGCAGACTGAATCAAGCTGTATAATTTATTGTATGCAACTACAGTGTTCAGACAGGTGAGGATGTACAACCATCCATAAGGCAAGGAGCTAACATATTTTTCAATAATAAGTTTAATTAAAAAAGGGGAAAAGAAGCGAGATCACTAAACTTAATTGCATGTTGGTGTTCCAGAGACAACATTCTTAGGCTGTACCTAACCAGCAAGACCTCATGGGGCTTCTCAGCTCCTGGGTTCAGGCAAGCACTGAGCTGTACGAGGTCTGCCTGCTGAGAGGAGACTGCGCACTCACGACGCGCACATTGAGGTTCACTGGCAGGATGGCAGAGCACTTGTGGCCAGAAAATACCCCCCAAAAGTCACCCCACTTGGAGAGGAGAGGACCAGCACTTTGCAACACATCAGGAGGCATACCTGCCTTCCAGGTTAGACATAGCCCTAGTATTTATCAGGGTGTAGTGGCACAGTAAAAGCTGGTAAAAATAGCTTATTCATTGCTCTGTAGTTGGCAGCAAGAATAAGCACTATAAGAAAATCCAACAGCAGAATGTGTAGCTTTGCCACTATGACACCACTGCAGTCTGTCATGTCCCCTTTTTCTTCTCTCCTTATTTGTGCAGTTACTAAGTGATTCTATTTAAAGAGGGCCTACAAATCACTTCCCCACTGTTTTTGTAAAGTAGAAACTTCTACGTAATGTTAATATAATCAAACCAATTATTCTTCTCCCCCCACCAGTGATAAAGAAATATGAGAACCCAAAACTTTGAACCGTTAACTCAGTACATTTTTATACATGCAAACCTGTATGATTTGTTGTCAAGTTCATGCCTTTCGCAACTACACGTTTAATTGCATCTAGGGCACTGCTCAGTTCGTGGGATCTTCTTTTATTCTCCTTTTCAGCATACAACAGCCTTTGCTGAAGTTTCAGAAAGTGGCTTTGGTACATCTCGAAGTCATTTCCTGTAATGAGAACATAATGTCTTTACAAACAGATGAATCATGTGATGGAATAAAGAGAAAATTTAAGAATAGGAGACAGTCCAGAAGAAGACATGACCAGAACTGTAGAAACAATAACAAAAGAGGCCGCTCAAAGATTATTAATGGAATGAAGACGTCTGTAAGAGTATTAACAAGTAGAGTTTACGGAGCACAGCTGGCGAAAGGCTTGCAGTTGAAGACAGGAACAAGAATTTGACACCCATAATAAAAAAAAGTCAGTGAAAGACTTTAAGTTGAAATGGAAGGCGCTATCCAGAAAAGACAACATTTTTCAATAAGTGACAAATCTTGATGACCCTTGTAGCACTCATAATTATGTAATGGCTTGGGTTTTGTATTAAATACTATTAAAATTAAACCACAGCTATTAAGGTATTCAGTCTTCATCTGCGAGTCAAAAAAGTGCCTGGAGTATATTAAGAACTATCAGTAAACATAGTTATTTGAACTCCTGGGTATATTTAATTAGCTAACAACTGAAACTGCACTCTGGACTGAATGATAACTTCATAACATATGGCCTTTGATGAAATACTCTACAACCATATAGATATTAGAAACACTGTACTCTCAGTCATGGTTATCAGACACCTCTGCTGTTCTGCATCGTACTCTCAGATAACGTCAATGTTATGTTCACAGAAGATCCCGCTCTGCCAAGAAGCAAGTTCCGTCAGAACTTCTTAGTTCTCACAGATGACATACAAGACTCACACCTGTCGGTGCCCCCACTGCCTCATTGCCACGTGAAAAAAAAGATTGTTGGACTTATTAAAATGAATATAAGGCAACATCTCAATAATGTTACTCACTTGGCAATAGGAAGTCAAGAAAGTAGAGGGCAGAAGGGGAATTCTACTTCATTTTAAAATGTTTTATAAGGTTGTTTTTTCTATTTTCTTTTTTGTTAAATGCTGTTATTGAGAAACTTCTCCCCTTCTGTCTGTGGACTGTGCTGAGTCCCATCCTTAGCAACACTCATCTATCTTCTTTAGCAGGACTAAAAGCAAAACATGCAGGTAACCGAAATTCGTGAGGGTTTTCAGAGGTATTTCAAACTGGAATTAACTGGCATTTTGGCTAAACCATTTTTTTTTTATTTGCAATAAAGACAAATCCCTAATTTGATCAATAAATGATGACTGAAAGACTCGGATGTTTAAAACATTTAGGAAGAAAGTAGTTAGAAAAATGAAGTAAACAAGCATGATCTGTATTAGTAGTATTGTTAAAAAATTAAAGTATATTTAGTAAAATGCCCATAAAGTGAATGCTTCCTAAAACTGACTGACAGTCGTAAAAATGTTCTGACTTGCAAGAAAGGCAATCATATCTAGGAGTATTCTGTACTGTGCAGATATGAATTTAAAATTAGTGTTGGAAGGAGGAGAAAACTGGACTATTGCATGCAAAAGTAACTTCCACTTTACTGAAGTGAGCTTCCCTCAAAAATAATCAAAGAATAAACAAACAAACAAATAAACAAACAAATAAATGGAAGGTCAAATGAGGAAACAGATGGAGAGCCTATCTTTTAGCAACTGCAGGGGAAACATTAACATTGATTTCCAATCAAACTTCTCATGAGGCTACAGAACTAGACCCCCAAATGAGTCAAATTATTGGAACATCTAGGGGAGATCCCTCTCATTAACCACTACTACTTAGGAATACACTTTCCTGTTTTACACTTTTCTTTCACAACTTTGTTTACAATGCCACAATCCAACCTTTAGCTTTTTGCTTTAGAATGTATATGAATAAAATGGAAATAGAAGTGTTAAGCTGATTTAGGAGACTGACAGACATTAATCATACTGTTCTCATAGCAATGAAGTGATTCCAAACAGAGCATCAACACATGTAAGCACAGTGGAGATTTATCTTGCACTTCCAGGACAAATTCAGAGGTATAAACTCAAGACAGTTATGGATGTTTGTTTTTTTATTATCCCAATTGCCTTTATTAGGAGTTAGATAGCACCAAGCATCAACAAAAAGCGGAGCTTTAACCTGCTGAAAAGTTTCACATACTGCTGGGAAGATGTAAAAAAATAAAGAGCAAGCCCATAATCTTAGGATAAATACACATTGCCACAGTATGCAACTTAATGCTTCTGAAAAGGGAATCAAACACTTGGTAATGGACGTTTCCAGTGCCATAGTAGCATAAGATTTTGCTAAACCAAACTAAAATTCACCCTCAGTGCAACTATATTATAGGAGGAATCAAGAAAGAAATCGTAGGTGAATAATAACACTGTAGTCCCTCTTCTTTACAGTTCTTTTAGCCGTCCAGCATCCATGTGACTCAAAACTACTGGTGTTGTTACCAAGCTGACATTTTAGCAAGCATCAAGTAATTGTAGATTTATTTGCGTACTTACAGGTGAGCCTACCAAAATACCATAGATGCCTCTGGCAAATAAAAGATCACTATTCAGCTCTGACCAAATGCACCCAAAGAAGCTGGCATTTGTAATTGGCCTTATCTATTTCTTCAGGCCAGAAGAAGGAAGCCACGGTTTTGAGTCTTTCAGAATGGTAGCCTCTCTTCAGTTAGTAAAACAAGACTCCTTGTAATTAGAATTGTTTAGGTTGGAAAAGACATTTAAGATCATTGAGTCCAACCATTAACCTAGCACTAACAAGTCGCCCAATGAACCATGTTCCTGATCACCGTATCTGCAAGTCTTTCAGTTACCTCCAGGCATGGTGACTCTACCACTTCCCTGGGCAGCCTGTTCCAATGCTTACAAACCATTTCCATAAAGATATTTTTTCTAATATCCAATCTAAACCACCCTTGGTGCAAATTGAGGCCATTTCCTCTTGTCCTAAATCCTAATTGCTTATCTCATTAGATTTTGACAGCTAGGGAAGCAAAGGTTTGCCAAAGGGAATGTAGTATTCACTCAAACTTAGCGAAGAATAAGATTGTTATTATAAACATATATAGTTCGAAACAGAATGTGAAATGTTCTAATCTTATCAGGGCATAGGTAAATCAGTAGTATTAACTACTAGTAGATTTTTGGCAAAAAACATGCATTTAGAAAGCAGCACTGAACTTTTTGTATTTTGCTGTCGTATATTTTTACTGTCATGAAGAGTATTTGTTACCAATACAATTGTAGCAAGCTAAGAAGATAAAATTAGAAGCATTATGAAGCTACATACTTTAAATATTTAAATGGTCACTAGGTTTAAATGGATTTTGGTGCATGTGCAGAAAGTGTCACTCTCGAAGTATCTAAGGATCTACACAGAACTAAACCAGCTGCTTGCAACAGCTTGCCTGGAAAGCAGCAGACAGGGCATTTTCACAAATACAGCTCACCCTAGCAAGGAGGGCAAGGAGAAGAGAGCTTATCATAAAACACCGTCTGTCCCCAGAGACAGCCTGACTTGGCAACAACACACCTACCAACGGTTCTGTCAGCAATGGGAAGTGTCAGAATTAAACTTGAAAACAGCGAGATGAGAACGTACAGCAAAACTAGAAAAAGTAACTAAAGGTAAAAGCTTCTTTCCCCCTTGATGAGCTGAAAATGAATCACTCAGCTGGGCTAAGGAAACCCTACTAGAAATTTCAGTGGGGTCACACCAGCTAGAAGCCAAGGGAGAAAAAACCAAAAACCAACAACCTCCCATACTCAGCAATAGCACTCAAAGCTTTTTCACCAAGTTTTCTCTGCTACAGCATTTACTCTGACTTTTTACTACACACTGTCGTATGTACTTAGAGTTATTGTAATTCTAAGATGGCAATACTTAAAATGGTTTCAAAAGCAACGTTGTCTTTTAATAGATACGGATATATAATTTTCTGCACGGGAAACTATAACTGTTTAGAAACTATGCTAATCTCTAAAACAAATACTCCTTCTAAAAGTCAATTGATTATTTCTCTTAGCGCCATGCACTTCCATGCAGCTCCATGCTTCCAGTTCCATTTACAATTGATTTCTGGCAGTATCTAGGAGCTGCAGAACAATTCATCACTACCTCCTAGCATTTGAAGAAAAAAGAAAAGGAAAATTTGGAATGGCAAAAAGAAGGGAAGAAAGCAATCCATAGTCTAGCAGTGACTCTTGTTCCTATTTCTTGATTAAAAGCTACACAACTTACAGTACCTCAGGAGGCTTTCTTTGAGAAACTGAATTTTGGTTAATGCCCCCTTTAAAAGAAAACTATATAAGCACACTACCTGCAAAAGATCTTGTCATACTCCCCACTTGGAACCACTTCTTGCCGTTCAGGTTAACGAAGCATGTTAAACCACTGAGGCATATATTGCACTAATAACTGTGGTGGTTTGTTATCTTCCCATAACTCATCTAAAATAAGAGACCTTTCCAAATCTTGTTACACACTTTGCAAGCTTGAGTTTTGTTCTCTCTCAGAGTGAGAATGAAAAAAAATCCCTCAAACAATGCCTTTGTCCTACTTAAGAACAGCCAGTTCTTACACAAACACATTCAACAATGTGCTAAGGTCTAAGGGCATTTAAGCACCTTTCCAGGTAAGGATGCCTTCCTGAATCTGTGCAGGATCTCTAAATAGCATTATAGCACAGAATTATTTGTGTCTTCCAAAAGGTTAGAGACAACCAAGAAGAAAACTACTGTAAATTGAGAAGCTGCTCCACCTGCATTGGGTACATTCACCCATTACGTTTAGTGTTCGTCAGAACTGGGGCAGCTTCGATTGTCGAGCCTTAAGCATAGGAAATAATATGTCTCAAGGAGTATGTTAAATCTTGAGAAGCCTCTGAAGTCAGTCAGTGCTGAGGTTGGTTTATTTTACGTGGTTGAAAAGGGAAGGTTAAGGGAGCAGGTTAAGAAGCTTCTAATCGTTTCCATGCATCTGTCCCGCTCTGATGGCAACTGGGCAGCAGGGGCTATTGCTATGACGGAGGCTATAAATAGAAGGAGAAAGATT